TTTTAGGACTATTTGAGGTTTTGAAGCATCTCGGGTGCTTGAAGAACACCCAAATCCATATGGCTGTTCTCTTCTGGAAAGCACGATAGCAGGGACCTGGGCAAATAATCACATGTGGGGCCTGTGAACGTGCCGTTCAGCCTTCTGTTTATGGGTAGGGTGAAACATTACACTAGAGGTATCTGAGGAGCCACTGTGCTGTCAGAGGATTATATTTTTTGTTCCCAACTTTTATTAAATATTCCTGGTAACAACACTGTCTCCTATCCTCAGCTAAGGTACATCTCAGTTCTCTCCTGATCCATTCAGTTACCGACTCATAGGTTCACCATTCACTCCTGTCTGGGCTTCTCACAGCTGAGTACTTTCACTCCTTTCTAATCAACCAGTTCCTGTCAAATCTGCTTTCCTGGTCAGTTTTCTTTGGCCGCTTTTACTGTGCACAAAGAGACTCTACTAGCAGGGTATACAGAACTTACAAACTAAAAAGTAGTTGGTTATTGGCTAATGCATACAGTAGATAGCTAAGACCAATGAGTAACTGAGCAAAGCGTTAATGTATTCATTACACCCAGTAATGCTGGCCAGTTGTCAGTCATGTGGGAAAACGTTAGCTTCTGTTGCTCCTTTGGAACTGTGGCTCAGTTTTGCAGAGTTGTTATCTTGCAAGCTCCTGGCTCTTTTGCCTAAGGGTTATAACTTTTCATGTCCGGATTTTTTCCTCTTGGATTCTTTGACTGCTAATTACTACTGTCTCTACAAATCAACTTCTGTCTGTGTTTTTACTTATCTATGTGATGTTAGCTAATGTACTTGCTTGCACCTTACCAAAAATTTTCTCAGCTAAGGTCACACAGTTGTACTACACCAAACTAGGCCTTGGATCACAGAGAGTTGAACCACGGGACTGATTCCACATAGTCTTCCTCTGGTTGGTTGATTCTCTCACTCTTCCTCTTTCTCCCTCCTCAAACTAACCCATTCTATTTTATTTTCTTATCGCCTTCCCTTCATTAATTCTCTTCTCGGTTTCTCCAGACTGAACTAGTTTTCTACAGAAGTTCTTCTGAACTGCAGCAGATTCTGTGCCTAAGAAGTTTTAAGTTCCCCAACGGTCACCAAGCTGACTTGCTACTTACCCTTTTATTCTGAGAAGTATGTGAGGTTAACAGGCCACATTTATCTTGCGATAAAACCTATTTGCAAATCTGGCTTAAACTGCTGAGTTAAAATAAGTCAATAGCTGCTTTGCCTTTGCTCGAATGGCCCAAGACACTGCAAAAATAGTAGTGAATTGGGTCTGTTTGCTTACCTTGTAAGTAAATGCTAATAAATAACAGGTAGTAGAATACTGCATGCCGTTTTCTTCTTCTTATAAACACTTCAGATGTTCTCTATGTCTAAAAAACCAAAGGAGTCAGTCAATAAATAGTGGAAAAAGGAGAGCCTGTCTTCCTTCAAATTTGCGTCTCAATACTTCTGTAGATTCTTGAAACTTAGTAGTAGGTGAGCTTTTGCTGCCAGGCCCCGCTTGCCATCAGTAAGGGCTTGAACTTGTTCTCTTTCCCAATTTCCTATTTTCACGGAAAAGTAGTTAGCTCACTTTGAATATCTTCCTCTGTGTAAAAATTTTATTGAAGTTGGTTAGAAAGTTCAAAAGTTACCAGGTGGCCAGTCAAGCAGTGGTGATGTTAATTTTATTGTCTTGGGAAATAGCATCTCCCTGATGCTTTACTCAGTATTTGTTAAAATGAATCCTGAGGGACCGAGGTGGACAGCTCCACACATACATCTTAATTGCAGGAAAAATTTCCATTGTTTCATGCTTTCTTGTTTTATTAAGACATTGCATGTGTCAGCTTCCTGGTTTTCTGCAAACGTTTTTATGAATCTGACAGTTATAATGGTCTGAATTGATATTACAGTGTACACATTCCAGATACATAAAAAACGTGATGTTAACTTGTACTTTTACAGCACAAAAGAGAACATGGTAAATTTAAGATATTAAAAACCAATAATTGGCAGGACAAACAGATGGTAGTTAAATAGTATGAAAATAAAATGGAGACAGTTTTTGTTATTCATTGACTTTGCTTGTTCTCAGAAATTTGGAAAGTTTTCTTTCTATTTGAAGTGCTAAAGGAATGAAAGGGCAAGGATTTTAGTTTTATGATAGTGTGTACACGCTGTATTTCCTATGTTCTTACTAAGACGCAGGGAATTTCCAGAGTTTGTATCTTAAATTCCTACTGAAACTTCCCAAATTGCTAACAGTTTATTAACACTTGTAGTAGTCACCTTCAAAAGTACATCCAAAGATATGTACGCATGTAAGCAGGGTTTACACTCTCTGTTTACTTCCCCACGCCCCAGATTACTGGGCTCAAATCAGTGCTTTGAAACTTCTAGCAAGTACTCATCTGGAGAGGTGTTTCTCTCCATTGCAGGTGGGGAAATAAAAAAAACTTAAAAATCAGTCATTCTGATTAATATTTGATTTTAATTTCCTGTAGTTCTATTTGTTGTGATGTGCTCAGCTATGGTGCATTATCTCACCAAATACTAGAGAAAAGTTCTGATTTGCTGTCCTGAGCACAAGAAATTTTTTTACTTTCACTGTTTTGAGATGTAGCAGGTGCTAGAACCAGGTCTCAAATTAGTGTGATTTTTATTTATTTATGGTATTTGCTAATCACATACTTGAGATACATGATTTACACAAAGACTTTAACAAATCCAAGAGAAAAACAGAGAGTACTATCAAAGATGGATGTTCCTGGAAATCTGAGGAGCTTCAGCGTGTTGGAAGTATTCACTGTTCTGGTAATCAGGCCAGTACTATCTCAGGTGCTGGTATGGAGACTCTAGTGGTTGGTAGGTTAATTTCCGTGGCCTTTGCTCAGTATTTTTCTCAAATGCAGTTTCTAGTAGCTGCTGTGTTTTGGATTTAGTATGAGAATAAAGTTGATAACACACATTGTTTTAGTTGTTGCTAAGTAATACTTATATTAAGTCAAGGACTTTTTCAGCTTCCTATAGAAGTGAAGAGGGAGCGTACACAGGACAGCCTGGCCAAAGAAATATTCCATACCATAGGCCACATGCTCATATAAATGGGGGTTGCCCGGGGAGTGGTAATCCACGATTGCTGCTCGGGATGGGCTGGGCAATCGATCATCGAGTCGCAAGAGCAATTGTATTGCATCACTTTATTTTGTGTATTCTTTTACCATTATTATTATTTTGTCTTTCGTTACTGTTCTGTTAAACCATCAACCCATGAGGGTTTTTTTTGTTTTGTTTTGTTTTTTTTTTCCCTCTCCTTTCTTCTCTTCTCCCTACCCCACTTGCGGGGGTGGGAGGGGAGGGAGTGAAGAGCTGCATGGTCTTAGTTGCCAGCTGGTGTTAAACCACAACATGAAGTCACGTATAGAACCAGCCTGGCAAACTCTGGTGCACTTGAGTAGTTCTCATTCAATTCTGATTGAGGGAGCACATAAGTCTATATCTATGTAATTACAGGAAATCCCTTGTGTTTCTATGTATTTCTACGAATATGCATTGATTACTGATTGTATGTATTTCGTACAAACCTTGTTGCCTAGTTTTTGATTTGAGGACCTTAACGCTTATAAAAATGCATGCTTGGTTCAGGTAGCAAAACTTTTTGCATGACTAGCTTTGACTTTACTACCAGATACTCTGAAGTAGACATGCCGATAGCACTCCTGCATGAGGCCTGTCCAGACTTCTTACCTTTGAATGAAGCTGTACAGTGCGAAGGGTACTGTGAATTTTATTTCAACAGGCAATATTCTCTCCCTACTATTGGTCAGAATTTGTAGAAAAAAATTACATGTTCTTGCACTCTCTCAATGTAGAAAACCTCTGTGATACAAATGACTGCTTGGAGAACCATACTCCATTCTTATACCAAGACTTAGGTAATTTAGATATAGGTAGAAAGAATATTGCATAATAAACAAAAGATTCAACTTTGGAGCAATATTGAATTTTTTTGAATGCCATATTTTTTGTTGCTGTTGCATCCAAAATCCAGGACATGCTTAAGGCAGTTGTCAACAAAGGGCTGGCCTCATGAATACGTAGTCTTTTAATAGCTACGTTTACTAGTGATGTTTCCTAATTTTAGCACAGCCGAAACTATTAATTTTTGTGACTTTTGATCCATCTTAGGTTTCCAAGCTGATATAGAGAATTTAATGGGTCAAACGTTTACTCTAGCGGATTGTGCTTGTCTGACAAGAGTTTCTCAATGCTGGTCTGTGTAGAGTGAGTTCTCTCAAGGTTGTGCCATCACTAGCAAAGCTCCTCATGTGGTAATAGACTTTGAAATGCTTTTAGAAATGAGTGTAATGGCTTTTTTTTTCTCAGAGCAAATCTAGGCGACAAACTGCTGCAAGTAAACTTGGGTGTTTGTCATTGTTGTTCTTGTTAAATTTCATTTGCGAAACTTCATGTTGCAGAGCAGTATATTGTCGTCTACTGGCACAGTTACTAGTTCCACTGCATAGATTTCACATATTTTATGTCCAAGTCGGATGTTCGCATGTATGAGATTTTCATTCCATTAACTTATATTTATAATGAGAAGAGCAATATTTGATTCCCTTCTGTGACCAGGAATTATTTAATAGCAAGGACGGCAAAGTACATAGTAATATAAAAAGCAGTGACTAGAAAAGTTCAACATAGCGCCCCTGGCATCATTGTGTACAGTTAAGAGTAATGATGTGATTGCCAAGGGAATTATCTTAGAATTAAATGATTCAGAAGAACAGAAAGGGCACATCATTCAAAATGTGGAACATTCTGCATGATCTATAATAATTGACCTTCATTTCAAGGCAACAAAGAAATGCCAGATTTATTGGCAGTACTTGTGACTTGCCAAAGAATTGATCAAGTTTTAATTTTTTTTTTTTTTCCTGTGTGTTGTGATATAGCCTAAGGAAATTTATGTCTTCATTTTGCAGGTCAAGCCTTAAAGGTATCAGCAGAGGCATTTACCAGTGATCCCTGCTATCTGCCTAAGAGGCAGGCTGTTGTCCAAGCAGCACGATCTCTGCTTACGGCTGTCACAAGGCTTCTAATTCTGGCAGATATGGTTGATGTGGCATACTTATTGGAACATTTAACTGTGGTGAGTAGAATTTGACTTAACTCAGTCTCCCTGTACCAGAAAAGTTTTGGCTGATGGTTCTTTCTGCATGGAAAATTCTTTTTGTACTTGGCAATTGCATATCTCGTGCACGTAACACCTTGGCAATTGGTGAAAGTGTAGATCCTAGATGAGACTTGTAGAATGTACCAAAACACCAAAAGTCTTCTAACTCAACATATTTGACCTGTGGAAGCAGATGGTTAGCCATACAATTATATTTTAACTTCCTTTTATTTCTTAATTCCTCTTTTCTTCCTTGAATTGTTTAGCTTTTTATGCATGAAACCTTCTTGATGTTTGTGGCAGTAGTAGGCAATAATTTATTTGTAGAGAATCTTAAAGGTGGGATTTTATGTGGATATTTACAGAGGGAAAGAACTGAGTAGGTAAGGGTCTATCTCTGGATTTAAGTCAGTTAGTAGGAGTGATCAGCTAAAAGGAGAGAGAAATGTGTGAGAGAGGCCTCCGGCAACTCCCCAGCTCCAGCTTTGTACACTGCAGACAGAAGACTAGAAAGTCCTAACGTTGGCAAAGCTTGGAAAATTGTGCAGTAGAAAATAATCTCTAAAAGCCACTTAATTTTTTCACTCAAGGAAATAATGTGTTTCGGAAGTGTGTATCATAATAGTGCTATGTTTTGGATTGTCTTTTTTTTCTACCTGGTTCCCTTTATACAGAAGGGATCGTTCTTCTGTTCCCATACAAAACTAACCAGTCGTTGTGCCACTACTGCTGAATTAGGCAAAATGTCCACATTTCTGTTGTTCAACATCAAAATCCTCTCCTGTCTACATAAACTTGAGCTCCTTTAATGTCAGCCGTAGTGTCCCATGTGAGCAGGCTTCCTTCCTTTTTTGAACAGTGTGATTTTACTCTTGCCAGCATCATGCGTCTGAGCACAAAAAAGTGTTTACTGAGTTTCTTCTCTGGCTGCTTACTCCATTCAGTCTCGCGTGTGTCTTTCCTGGGAAGAGCCGGAGATTGTTCTTTTTTTGTTTCCTTTTTTTTTTTCCCTCCCCTAACATCTTCAGTAATGTGTGACAGACTGATAAAAATTCAAAGTTTTATTGACTTCTTGATGTTTCAGGGCAGAGGTGAATAATCAGTGCCACCTCTAAAAATACCACATGTCACAAGAAGAGCCACTGACTTAAAGGAGAGTGTTTTGAAACCAGTTCAGTTTGGTGAGGACAGGGGAATGGAAATTTAGCTCCCAAGCAGAGTAGGAACAGTATTTCATAATAAAACAATGTTGTGTGGGTTTCAATGCTGTGTTTGAAACATACAACATTGACAATTGTTGGAGATGGAGTACAGGCTACATGAACACTGACTTGCAGAAGCTTCTATTTTGTTATATATGTATGAAATTTGCCAGCTGTAAGAGGAGTGGCCTATGTTTTTTGTACTGTTTGTGGAAAATTTTCTTAAATTGTGATATCTGTCATTGGTAGCCTATTACATTTTTACATATGTATTTTCATAATCCTAGATGTGCCCTTCTAAAATGTTTTCAGTATTTTTTTTTTACATGAGAGAACTAAAATTGGTAGTTTTCTTTCCTAGAGTTTCACTATTTCTAAGCAACCATAAAATTAACTTCATGATTTCCTGTTGAAAATGAAAACTAGCAATAACTGGAAATCATAAAAGAATGCAAAGCATTATTCAGGAAAAACTGTAAAGAGATTTTCCTTCTTTCATGCTTTAATTTAGTTCTCTTAATAGGAGTGAGGACTGAATTCTTCAATTAACTCTTAGAATAAATTAGCGTGGCATAACACTCTCCAAAATGCCTATGTAAAAAGGCTCGCCCTAAGTCCTTAGAGGAAGGTGGTGCAATTTCTGTATGTATTTAGTCTCTCTTCTGGCTGTTGAACTCGCCAACAGTGGTATTAGCTGTAATGGTGTCTTTTTATGTTGACATCTAATTAGGAAATCTGCTTAGAAGATAGAGTAATTTCAACATATGCTACTGAACATCCTTCAATTTATAACAACTTTTGGTCATGCCTAACTGAGCCAGATTTAAATGCAATTAAATATTTTAATGAGCCTCAACTTTGCTCTTTTCAAAGTCCTTAACTTTAATTATTATACTTTAAAACTCCCTTAGGAATTCAGTTTTTCTTCAATGTGGACTTGCTCCAACAAAAAGACATTGTACTCGCACAGTGGCTGCAGCATAGAAAGTAGACCTTGTCTTTGCTGTATCATCTTTAATATTCTCAATGTTTGTCTGCTCGTATGATTTGAAAATCAACTCTCTTTAAAAGCCATTAGCAGTTTTCTTTGAACTCGTTCTAAAATTTTAATACTTTTACCATGTTATCGTCTTCTTCACAAAGACATGGATGTTACAGCTGTTATTAATCATTTAAGAGATGAGAAACTGTCCTGGTTGCGGCAGGGATGGGGTTAAGCTCCCCCGGGGCCGGCAGGGGGCAGGCATTCCCTCCCACGTGACCCACGCCCGGGCTATAAGAGGCGCTGCCGGGGCGAGGAGAGCAGTCGCCACTCGGGGGTGGGCTGCGGCGGTGCGGGTCCGGTCGGTGCGCTTCGCGGCGGTACGGTAGTCGCGTTTTCGTCTTTCCTTTTGCTGTTCTGTTAAATTGCACTCTTTTAACCCACGAGTTTGGCCCTGTCGTTTTCTTTTTCCACGACTGTGGGAGTTGTGCGAGCGGCTGCGTGGTTCTTTGTGGATGGCTGAGGCCAAACCACGACAGACACTTTATTGCCCTTTATTTCCATAACTCTGAGCTCTATAATTGTCATAGAATAAAATGAAGAAATTTAAAGGACTGAGCCAAAACGAATTTTAAAAATAAAAAAAAGTAACAGTAGAATAAATGAAATGAAAATTCTAACCAAGGAAGTTTTTTTTGTTTGTATATATAAAATAAAAGAAAGTGGTCCAGCATCATCAAAGAACTCTATAGAGTATTAATCAGATCTTATTCAATATGGAAGTATTTCACGGGGAATTACCTATTTATGTATCTAATATTTTTCAAACCCATTTATCAAATAGTGCTGGAAAGTTTTTAGTCTTGCTCACTCAGTGGAGCTGGTTAATTCCAACACTGAAATTCAAAACATTTGAAACCATACTTAATTCTACTGACAGAATGCAGTCTGGATCATTAAACTTTAAATTTCCTCTGTAATCTGTGAATAAAAATAGAAAGGAAACAATGACAATGTGACTAGCTGTCATATAAAGCTTTGTCTAGTCTTACCTGTCACATCTGCCATTCTAAGTATATCTAGGAAAAAAGCCTCAGGTACCAGATGAACTTCCTTCCAGTTTATATAGTCTATAAGAGTGGTGTTTTCTGCATGTTTTATGTAGACTTCAGACTGGTTTTGACTTCTATATAAAACAGTATAATGCTGGAAATAACGAATATTTTTGTCACAAAAATATTGAAATGCAGTTCTCAAACTAGAAATAACAGGTCGGTCTATTTGAAAGAATTTGATAAACCTGGCAGGACTTTCACTCCAGATGTCCAAAAACATACCTTTGTGAACATGAGATTAGCTTTTTTTGAAATTTTGCTAATAAAGTGGAGACCATTTTGCTTGTTTTGTGGATTTTACAGAATTTTCCCCCAGCAAAGTGTGTATCAAATAATGCATATTAGAAACCAGTGCAAATTCTCATTGATCATATTCTGGCATAGTATACTTCTAGCCATTTGTGGAGTTTACAGCATTATAGAAGTGTGATGGTGCGGTGCAAACAGTGACCTCATTTTAGAGTTGACTGAGAAAATAAAGTACATCACACTGATAAGAAAGGTTTTGCTTCTTTAAACAACTGATTTTTTTTTTAAGCAGGGAAGAGTTTAAATAAATAGCTGTCTGTATCTGAGTTTCCATACTTATTTTAGAGTTTGAAGTCTCTAATCATAAAACCGAGTTGTGAAAAATGTAGTCAGATGAAGGGCTATCTCATGTGTTGCACTCTTTGATTCAGTGCTGTATTACCAGCCTCATTTGTTCTGGTTAGTAATGCTCGATATTATTTAAGTGAATTAACAGACTAATGGAATTGCTTGAATTTATTGATTAGAGGAGAACAGCAAGAAGGTAACAAGTTCTGAGAATTTCATTCAAAGTGCATTGGCAGTCTGTCTTTCTCTAATCTATTTCAGATCATGCTGAGCCAACATGTTTTATCTGCCTTTTTTCCCTTCTTGTCATGCTTGTAGATTTACTGTTTAAGTCTTCATATTTTTCATGAACGCCTCAGACAGCGTGATCTTTATAAAATGCTTGCTAAGAGTTATTTAAAACTCTTGCCAGGAAAAAAAATGAGAATGGCTACAGATAAGAAACAACTTGTGAACTTGGGCCCTGTGGGCATAGTGCTGTCTGTTCCACCCTTCCCTGCAGAGTGTTCATCAGCATTAAAAATGTTTTGAGCAGGAGAAAAACAATATGATTACATAAAGGCAGAGAGGTAAGTCATGTCAGGCCTACCTACGCTTCAGATTTAGGTATTTGGTTCGACTCGCTTAAACTAGAATTTGACTTGCTCCCCGCATTACTGTCTGATTGTGATTGTATTGTGGTATCATGCAGTAAAACATTAAAAAATGGAAAAAGGGCAAACAAGAATGTAGGCTATGCCGGGGGTACAGGGCCAGGAGTTTTAATGACTCTCTTCTAACAAACCGTTGCTAAGGAACGGACTCCCCGCTCACTGCAGTTCTGTTTGTATAGTATCTGGGTTTGGTCTTAGCATGGGAATCACTCAAAAAAAGACCATTATCCTTTTCTTGCCAGTCAGAAACATGGCTTTGAAGGGACCCTAATTGGCCAGCTTCAGGTACTACAGTTCCAGAATTTCTTTGAAGTGAGCAAGACTGAAGGCTCCTGAACGTGTTTTACCAGAGCATAAGAAAACCTAATGGAATATAATGGCTGTATTTCCAAGAGAAAAACACAACTGCTGGCTTAAAACCACACTT